GGGGGCATGACAGTGTGAGGAAGGTGCAGGGAGCAAAGACTTGGAGGGGGAAGGGAGCAACCCTGGGCTCTCGGGAAGAGAGCGAGGCAATGGGAATGACCCATTGCTGTTGTTCAGTCGCTAAGTCATATCTGACTCTTTGTGTCCCCATGGACTGTAGCCCACCAGCCTCCTCTGTCCTCCACTATCTCCCGGAGTCTGCTCAAATTTGTGTCCATTGAGCTAAATGTGATCCACTGGAGAAGGAAATGGCAACTCACTTCCATATTCTTGAAGTGGGTTGACCTGAGCAAAGGCCAGAGGTCAGAGGGCATTGGCCTGTTGCAGGAGCAGTAAGGAAACCCAAGAGACAGAGCAGAGTTGGTGATTAGGGAGCAGTTGGAGGTGAGGTGTGGGGAGTCCAGAGTGAGGAGGGCTTCTGGGCTGCTACAAGGAAGTGGCCTTCCCTATCAGTGATGGAGAAGCCTGTGGCCTGACCAGGGATCTGATCTGTGGTCTCAAAGGTGGGTACAGGTAGACAAGAAGAGGGCAGAGAGGCCAATTTGGGCCTGGGTGCCATGACAGGCTTGGATCAGGAGTTACCTGTGGGTCATGATTCCATCAGGTCCCTCCTTTCTCAGAGCCTCCCCACCTGGGTCAGTGTCCCCAGTGTCCAGTGTGGGCTCCCCCAGGCTCTGTTGCCCAGGGGATCTCAGCAAATACAAGGGCAGACCAGGGAGTGGTAATTGAGAGTGAACACACACCACTGCCTGTGGTGGAAACAGATGCCTGGCAGGGAACAGCAGCCCCAGTCCTAGGCAAAGGCCCCCAGCCTTCTAAGGGGGAGCTGAGCCATAGGTCTGGGGCTCCCTAGTAGGTGAGCAACTGAGGCTTCTTGCTTGAGGCCAGGGCTGCCTGAAACTTCCAGCTGGACAGGGCTCCAGGAGCAGCCAGCTTCCACAAAACTCAGCACTATGGAAGGAAAACAGGCATCCCAGATGAACATGAAAGGCCCTAAGAGATTAGCGCCCAGGCCAAGAGTGGGAAACTCAAGCTCCAATACTCTGGCCACCTGATGTGAAGAGCCGACTCATTTCCCTGATGCTGGGAAAGATTGAAAGCAAAAGGAGAAGGGGGCAGCAGAGGATGAGATGGTTGGATGGCATCAGTGACTCAGTGGACATGAGTTTGAACAAGGAGATAGTGAAGGACAGGGAAGCCTGGCGTGCTGCAGTTCATGGGGTTGCAAAGAGTCAGGCATGACTGAGTGACCGAACAACAACAGGAGTGGGAGACAGACCCAGAGAGGAGGTGCAGCTTGGTCAAGGCTACACAGGGAGCCAGTGGGACCGTTAGCCCCTTGGAGACACCATTTCTGTATCTGCAGCCCCATGAGGCAAGGGCATTTGTTTGTTTGGTTCACTGATGTGCCCTGGGCACCTGGCCCAGAGCAGATGCTCAATAAATATGAGTCGGATGAGGGGACTTCCTTGGTGGTTCAGTGGCTAGGACTGAACGCAGTCCTAATGCAGATGGCCCGGGTTCGAGCCCTGGTAGGGGAACTAGATCCCACGTGCCACAACTAAGGGTTCACATGCCACAACTAAAACATTATGTGTACAGCAACTAAGACCCAGCACAGCCAAATACATACATAAGTAAAAATAAATAAATATTTTTTAGAGGGATACTTAAGGACTTCTGGAAGGTCATGTACACACTGCTATATTTAAAATGGATAACCAGCAAAGACCTATTATACAGCACATGGAACTCTGCTCAATGTTATGTGCCAGCCTGGATAGGAGCAGTGGGGTTTGGGGGAGAATGGATACATGTACATGTACGGCTGACTCCTTTCACTGTTCACCTGAAACTACCACAACATTGTTAATCAGCTATACCCCAGTACAAAATGTTTTTGGTGTTTAAAAAAATTAAAATTAAATTAAAAAAATATAAGCCACTAATTACACGAGTCTGTCTGTAAAATGGGCTGATTATAGAGCTACTGCCCAGGGTGAGGCTCAGACAGCTGCTTGGTGTCAGACCCCTGCAGGCACTCAGCAGGAGGGAGCTGGTCAGAAATCTTTGGGCAGACTGGTTTTCTGGCTCTCCATGACTGGTAGACCATGGCGGGGCCCCAGGGGGAAGACAAGGCCTGGAGCCCTGCACCCCCCTCCCACTCTCCCCAGCTTCAATTCTCAGGCCTAAGTATCCCAGCAGAGCCCAGGGCTCTCCTCTGGTTACCCAGGCCCCCGGCGAGCACACGGTTGAGGCAGAGTGAGCATGAGACAGTTCCTGGGCCCCAAGACACTGCCACCAGGATGGTCAAGAGCTCTGAGGGCTACCTGCTCCTCATCCCCTTTGTGGTCCCCCTCCACCAGCCACTAGAGTCCCTGGCCAAGAGGGCTGACCCTCCCGACTCCATCTCCCTCAGGCCCAGGGCCTGGGGCAGCTCTGGCCCAGTTCCAGCCAGCCCCCAGGCCAGCAGCTTAAGGACTCTTTGGGGCTCCCTCTTGGGGCTCAGAGGGAAGGTCCCACGGGGCAGTGGCCACTGAGGTCACGGTGGCAACTCCTCTGCCTCTGGGAGGACTTGTCCAGTGGACTGGGATAGACTGGAGGAGGGCTGGGTGGGAATGGGCCACTCCTGCACGCTCCAGGCCTTGCCGGTGCCCCCAGGTGCAACCTGTCTTTGGCCTGGCCCTCCCCTGAGGCCTTCCAGCCCTCCTGCTCCTCTGCAGCTTGTCAGAGCAGCCAGGGCTCATGGCTGCCCACAGCCTCCTGCACAGGATCGAGTTTCCCACTCAGTAGCAGCTCTTTCTCCCTCACCTGCCGCCAGGGAGAGCTGAACCCTCGTGAATAATTCACAGTGTTTCACAGCAGGCTCATGAGAGCAGAACCCAGGCAGCCTCCCCCAGAGCCAGACTCCCTGGGTCCCCTGACTACACCCTGCGGCCTGGTGCAGCCTGGGCCTCTGCCCCTCCCCAGCACCCCCACTCCCGCCCTGGATCCCCGGCCTTGGGGAGCAGGAGTCTCTACCTCTGAGGTAGGGAGTGGGCTCCGGCCCTCAAGTCCTCCAGTCAGCAGGTCCCGCCTCAATTCCCAGCCCCCTCCCCCTACCTGAGCCCAGCCTGACAGTCACACAAAAGTACCTCCTTATCAGCCAAGCCACACATCATTGTGGGAACAGAGCCCCAGGCCTCTGTCCACTTCCCTGAGATTCATGGGGGGCTGGTGGCTCATTGGTCCAGGCCATCTGGCCAGAGAGTGGGTGCCAGGGCCCAATTACAGCCAGTCCCACGGCATGGCCTGGGACGGCTCAGGGTCCCCCAGGCCCTAAGTCTGCCAGGGTGCCCCCAGCTTCCCCACCTTAGGAAGCCTGAGCCTTCCTAAGGCTGGAACCCCAGCCCATGGAGGCTTGTCCTAGGCCCCAGACTTCTCCATGAGGATGGGCTCAGGGGCCAGCCTAGGGCTTCACCCCACCCCCATCAGCACTTCCAGGGTGGGGGGCCAGAGGCCCTCAGTTCACACCACTGGAGCTAAGTTGGCACTTCCATCAGACTGGCTTCCTGGGACCCACCCTGTGCGATGAGGGGAGCTGGCAGGTGTGAGAGGATGACCACAGCCTGTCTCACCCCTCTCGGGACCTCCGTGTTGGGTGAGGGGGTGGGGTGAGAACCATCGAGGTGGGGACACACACAGGTGCAGTACCCCAGTCCTCACCTGGGAGTCTATCAGGGAGTCTGGGACCAGCCCCCAGGGGTGCTGATGGCTGCAGGGTGGGAGCTGACACTCGAGGGTGCCTGGGGCACTCCACCTTGAAATCCCACTGATTTTGATGTGACCCAGACCCTGGCTTGTCTGGAGGCAGAGGGTTCACTCCAAAGTGGTACCCAGTGGCTTCTGGTGGGGACGGCTGTGAGGCCTTGCCCCGCAAGGTGCACCTGCTGGTCTCCTATTAACCAAACCAGGGGCCCTTGCTTAGCAAGAACAAGCCAGGCCCAGCCATTCTGGGCCCAGCCTGGGGGCTTTCAGCTGCTCCACCTGCACACCATGTGCTTCTGCCCAAGGGGCTGTCCACTGGAGCCACCCTGCCACTTGGCCATGGGGCCAGCCTGGCCTCCTGCCTGCTCCCTGGTGGCCAGTGGCTGGGTAGTCACCCTCAGGGGTGAGAACAGGCCGTCCCACCTTGTAGCTCTCAATCTGAGGCTGGGTCCTCTGTCTCCACTTATTTCCCAGATGTCCCCTTGAACTGACAAAGATCACCAGTCAGAGCTCCCGTCTCAGGTCCCAGGGTCACTGGTGTCCCACTCCCTCCGGGTTTGGGTGGTATTCTACCCCGGGACCCCTGCTTCCCTCCAGGTACACCTAAGACCTGGCTCTCTCCTCCCTAGGAACTCCATGACTCCCAGGATCTACACTAAACCCCATTCTTCTGCTCCCCCACCCCACACTGGGGTGTACCCAGCCTATGGCTCAGCTGCTTTCTCTGACCAGCCGCTTGCCCAGGGCCCCAGGGGGTTTGGGAGCCCCACCCCCCTGGTTAGTGGGAATGAGCTGCTGGCCACAGGGGAGGACAAGCTGCTCTGTGACAGGCCAGGAGGCAGGGAGAGGGGCTGGGCAAGGGGCCACCTCCCTGTACTCTGGATGGCAGCCATGGCCCCTCCTTGACTAGAGCCTAGGAGGTGCTAGGCATCATCCCTATGCCCCATTTAGATCCGTCTTACCAATTAACCCAGGCCAGAGCCAGAGGGCCGCCTGTTGCAGGCTGGTAAGGATGCTAGGGAGGGCAAGTGGTCTGTGTGGCCGTCTCCAGGGCTGGGGAGGGCTGGGGAGGATCTGCCTGCAGGGCTCGAGGCTTGTGGCTGTGGGCAACCCACCAGGAGGGAAGAATTGTCAGCTGGCGTAAGTGCAGTCTCTGGCCATGGGATGGCCCAGAAGCAGTCATTCCCCTGGCATGCTGGAGAGGGAGACAACCTCAGGTATCCCCCAGGGCCCCTGGAGAAAAGGGTCCTTACTCAGGGTGGGACCTGACGAGAAGCCTCAGGGAGGGGAAGTCTCCTTTGGCGGCGGCATAGTGAATAGGCAGGGCGCCTGTGTCTGTGGCCAGGGTGGGGTTCCCACCGCCGTGATGCAGCAGCCAGTTCACCACCTCGGGGTGGCCAAAGCGGGCAGCCAGATGCAGGACTGTGGCACCAGAATTGTCTCTGTCCTGTGGGAGGAGACCTTGTTAGTCCCGAGCCTGGTCCTGCCCGCATCCCTCGCTCAGACCATTCCGGCATCCCACCAGCGACCAGGGTGACTCTGTCCTCTGGTGCCTGACTGGCCCCCTCTGGATCTCAGCCCTTAGAGCAGCACCATGCCTTGCATGCTGGGCTCTCAGGACATGGCACCTGTCATTGCCCCAGCAGGAGCGCCTGTCTGTCACCCAGGTGCTGAGGGAATACCTGAAGGAGTACTGGTCAGGAAGGGTGGCTATCGGGCCTGCTCTCAGGGTGGGGAGGTACCCCCTGCACCCAACCCTGCCCCCTCCCTCACCCACCCCTCCCCAAGTATCCCATAAAAAGAGGCCTCCGGGTTCATGTACCTCCAACACCCAACCTCAGTGCAGAGAGCCGCCCACCCCAGCAGACTCCCTGCTCCCAGCCTCCAGGAAACAGGCTGTGTCCCTGTGGAGGAGGAAGCCTCTGGCTACTGGTTGGCAGGACCCAGGCAGTTAGCCAGTGGTGTCAGTGTGGGCTAGAGGCAGCCCCGGGGAAGGGCTTGAGCAAGATCCCCTCCCAGGCACTCCAAAGGAGACAGGCCAACGCTTTGGGCCCAGGAGTGCTGATAGCATCTTCTGTGAACATCCAGGTGTGAGTGTCTGTTGTGGGAGGGGGTATGTGACCTGCAGGCCAAGGAGGGGAGACATCGAGAACCCAGAAGCCTGGACTCAGATGCTGGGAGTTTGGGAGAGTGGGCACCGGGTCTGGAACAGAACGAGCTCCCAGCACCAAGCACGTGGGATGCTGGAGAGGTAGGCAGGGAGCCGGGCAGGGGCACAGGGAGGGGGGTGGGGCAGTGGTGGAGGCAGGCACCATGGGAACAGGTGTGGCTGAGGCTGCGGCAACTGGAGAGACTCTGAGTTTAAAGAAGGTGCATTTCAGTCACGGAAGAACCGCTGAGGCTCCTCTAAGTGAAGAAGTGTTGGTTGCTTCAGTCGTGTCCAACTCTTTGCAACCCTATGGACTGTAGCCCGCCAGGCCACTCTGTTCATGGGATTCTCCAGGCAAGAATACTGGAGTGGGTTGCTAGTTCCTTCTCCAGAGGATCTTCCTGACCCAGGGATTGAGCCCAGGTCTCCCATACTGCAGGCAGAATTTTTTACTATCTGAGCCACCAGGAATGCGGGAAGTGAGGGGGCAAGGGAACAGGGCCCAGGGGCACAGCAGGGAGGTCACAGTCAGACTGTGGGGTGGGGGACAAACAGACGGGCTGATGGGCTAGAACACAGGCAGAGAGGAAGGGGAGGCAGAGCAACAGCCCACAGGAGGCGGAGGACGACGCTGAGAGGCCTCTGTGCAGAATGCCCGCGGAGGGCCGGAAGACTGGTTTAGTCTGTCCTCCTGAGCCCAGCAGGCCTAAACAGTACTATGACTCTGCCTGCAATGCAGGAGACCCGGGTTTGATCCCTGGGCTGGGAAGATCCCCTCGAGAAGGAAATGGCAACCCACTCTAGTATTCTTGCCTGGAGAATCCCATGGACCTGGGAGGAGCCTGGAGGGCTACAGTGCATGCGACCATGGGGTTGCAGAGTCGGACACAATTGAATGACTAACACACTTCCTGAGCCCAAGGGACAAAATTGGCTAGAAGTGAGTTGGACAGGCCCACAGTGAAATATGCCCTGCACTCCAGCTCTTGAGAAAAACCCTCCTTCCCATTGGCCTTGGGGACGGTGGGCCTGAGGCTCCAGGGGATCCTGATGGTTCTGGGCCCCTGGGTGGGGGCGAAGAGGGAGGCCCCAGGAAGGAGAGGATCACAAGCCTGTGACCTGTCCCCAAGGTTTCAACAGCCCCAGAGGGCCCAGAAGCCTCACGTGCTGTGGCCTGCACCCTAAAGCTGCTTATCTCCCCAGGCTGAGCAGGGCCCGGGATCGAGGTCATCCTCCCCTACATACACACTTCCGCCCCCAACACCCAAGCTGGCGGGGCTAGAGGGCGGGGGACTTGATAAGCTGGGCCCAAGGCCACCTGTTCCTCTACCTCCTCTCCAGGGGCTGGGGAGGCTTCCGGTCAAAGCTGGACACCGGAATCAGGGAGGCATGCCACCTCCCAAAAGAGTGGGCAGGCACCACATGCCAGGAACTCCTGATAACAGAGCTGGCCCGGAGATAAGGGCCCTGGCCATCTCCCAGGAAGGGTGGGATGGGGGGCCTTGCCATCATGAGGCTAAAAGGTGGGGGGAATGGGGCCCGGCCATCCCTACAGCACAGCCAGCTCAGAGTTGCCCCTGCCTCCTCTACTACATCCAGTTAACACAGTGGTCTCTTGTTAAGCAGAAAATGAGTTCTGTCCCTCCATCCTTGGCTTTCCCCTACAACCACAGGATCCTGCAAATTCTGAACCCAGCGTATGATCCTATAGGACCTGGCCCTGCTGGCTTCTCCCTGCCTCATCCCACTTCAGACATGCTCATCTCTTTGTTGTCCCCGTCACAGGACAGAATGTGTGCCCCTCCGGGCTTTGTACTTCCTGCTCCTTGTGCTCAGACTTCTCTGGTCATCACCTGGCCATTTCTTCCCCATCAGACAAACCTTCCTTCAGAGGTCACTCCTCGGAGGGGCCTTCTCTGGCCACCTTGCCCAAGCAGCTCCCTGTTGCTCCCCCCACATGGCCTAGCAGTACCTGGTGGTACCTGGCTTACTCTTTAACCTGTGTGTTTGCTGTTCATTGTCCTGATGGACTGGCAGTTCCAGGGGATCAGGAGCACACTGGGACCCCAGGCCTAGACCCTGCTGGATGCTCTGTTTCTGGCAGGACTGAGCAGGAAAGCTACACACCAGACCTGAGCTGCCTCCTCTTCGTCCCGCTCAGGCTCAGGAGAGGCCAGACTGGCTGACACCAGCCCCGTGGCCACTGAGTGAGACTGGGTGGGGTCTCAGGGCAGGAAGACTCAGGCTAAGCTGAAGAAGCTGGGAGGTGGGAAGGTGCTGATGCCCTGGGATCAGCTCAGATCCTGGGAAGGACCCATTTACCAACTCGCTCCCCCTGGGGTGGGCTGCAGGATTTCGAGCACCACCCTTCCCAGACCTGATCCTTAAGGACATGGGCTTCTGACTCCAGGCCCTTTGTTCCTCCCACCCATTCTCCAGGACTCCTTGGATCAGTGAGTTCCCCACACCCTCACCTTAAACGCTATCCCGGTGGAGCCCAACTCCATTCTGGTTTCTCATCACCCGGTGCTCTTCTAGGCGGTGGCCAGGGCTTGCCAGAGCATCTGCCCGGGTACTCTCAACCCAGGAGCCCATCCTGCTCCAAGTCCTTTGGAGGGAACTCCGAAGCAGGCTTGGCTCCGCGGTGCCCCAAACGATCCACCCTTGAGCCACGAGGGCTCCAGGCCAGAACTCCTTCCTGGGGAGGAAGCCCCCTGGGAGACCCAGTGAGTGGCGCAAACTCACATGCACTCCGCAGCCTCCCTGCGACAGCAGCCATTGCAGGCAGGAGAGGTGGCCGGTGGCGGCGGCGTCGTGGGCCGGCGTGGCGCCGTTGCGCGCGCGGGCCGCAGCGGGCAGACCGGCCTCCTCCACCAGGAAGCGCAGACAGTGCAGCTTGCCGGCGCGGGCCGCGTGGTGCACCGGCAGCGCGTCCAGAGGGTCGCGCAGCGAGGGCCCCAGCAGGCGGGCGGCGTGCAGGGACCGCAGCACGTCCAGGTCGCCCTGGCGCGCCGCCTGCAGCGCCTGCTCCAGGGCCATGGTGCCGCCTGCGGCGCCGCGACCCGGGCTCAGCGCGTCCCCCGAGGCGCCATACGCCCTTCCTCGGGCACAGGGAGAGCCGGCGGCCGGGCCGTCGGGGCCTGCGGGTCGGGAGGCGGAGCGGCTGCCGGCCCGGCCTCTGTCCCGCGTTGCCTCGCCGGCTCAGCTGGGCCTCCGCCGCGCTCTGGGGTAGGGGCCACCCGCGGAGCCCGGCTTAAGGCTCGGGCCTGCCCCCGCCCCCGCCCCCGCCCCGCCCCGCCACGCCACGCCACGCCCCCGCCCCTGCCTCCGCCCCGCCTCCGCTCCGAGCGCCGGACTGCTGCCACACGGGCTGTGCGCCCAGGGACTTCTCTCCTAATTTATTATACCTCCGGTCAGAACGGAGACCCCAGAGGGTGATCAGACTGAATTCGAGAGCCGTCCAGAACGTCCAGACGAACTCATTCATCAATCCCGCGCCAGCTGGAGGCGCTGGGGACACAAGCCAGCAAACTGATCGAAACTCCAGAGTGACAAGTGTGATAAGAGCAGGAAAACGGGGATCTAGGGAGTGAGTTGTGGAGGCTACGTGGGCAGCCGGGGAAGGGCCATCTGAGGAGGGGCGGTGGGCTGGGCTTTATTCGAAGGCGCACAGAGGAAAGTCCCAGGCCTGAGAGACTTGGGGAGCAAGGGCCATACACCAGGAACGGGCCTAACAAGGCCTTAAAGGGTTCTGGATCTATGCCTTGGAGGGTGGGACGGGTGCTGGGCCCTCAGCCTTTCTGGGTTCCCCCAGACCCCAGTAACTGTCCTCAGATTTCAGATTTCCTGAGGAAGGGTGAGAGAGAAGAGGAAAAAGACAGGAAGGCCTGGTGTATTCTAGTTTCCAGTCCTAGAGACCCTGGGCTCAGAGAGCGCCCAGAGCTACCCTCTGGGGTGGGGGAGTCAACTGTGAGCTTGGGGTCCTGAGGCTGCCAAATAAAGAGAGACAGAGGAGCTGGTTGCAAGGGCTGGGGAGGGGGAGGGTGAGGGGGCGGGCACAGGGGAGGTACGACAGAGCAGTCACCCAGGGAGCAGGCCTGGGACCCCTCCACAAGGGTGCAGGATGGCCCTGGGAGGGCAGTGGGCCAGGAGAGTACACGTGCACCAATCTGCCCACCTGCCTGGCCAGAAGCCCTTCGTGGGAGCTGGAGGGAGGCCCCGCAGGTTGGACAGGAGGAAGAACTACTGGAAGACTGGACTGTGTAGCTGTGAGAACTCAGCACACCCAGCAACCTTGAAACATCCGGTTTCCTTCCTCCCGATGGGAGTGGCCCTTGCTCACCACCTCCCCATTGGAACCTGGCAAGTGCTCTGCCAGGGGCTGTTTTACCCAATGGCTAGTGGGACAGGCACAGGATGGTGCTGGAAATGCCTAGAGTGAAGGGGCCTCTAGGAAGAGGTATGTGTGTGTTTCAGTCACTCAGTTGTGTCCAACTCTTTGTGACCCCATGGACTGCACCATGCCAGGCTTCCCTCTTCATCACCAACTCCCAAAGCTTGTTCAAACTCATGTCCAGTGAGGTGATGATGCGATCCAACCATCTCATCCTCTGACGTCCCTTTCTCCTACTGCCTTCAATCTTTCCCAGTATCAGGGTCTTTTCCAGTGAGTCAGTTCTTCACATCAGGTGGCCAAAGTATTGGAGCTTCAGCTTCAGCATCAGTCCTCCTAATGAATATTCAGAACTGATTTCCTTTAGGATTGATTGGATCTGGTTGGATCTCCTTGATGTCCAAGGGACTCTCAAGAGTCTTCTCCAACACCACAGTTCAAAAGCACCAGTTCTTTGGTGCTCAGTTTTCTTTATGGTCCAACTCTCACATCCATACATGACTACTGGAAAAACCATAGCTTTGACTAGACAGACCTTTGTTGGCAAAGTAATGTATGCTTTTTAATAGAACAGTGGGTGTCCAATTACCTGGGGCCACCACCAGGTGGCGCCACGTGCAGCGGACTTTGAGTGTCATGAGCTTAGTCGCTCAGTCCTGTCACACTCTCTGAGATCCCATGGACTGTAGCCCACCAGGCTCCTCTGTCCGTGGGGATTCTCCAGGCAAGAATACTGGAGTGGGTTGCCATGCCCCCTTCCGGGTTATATTCCCAACCCAGGAATCAAACCCATGTCTCCTGCCTTGCAGGTGGATTCTTTACCATCTGAGCCACATGGTACCCTCCTAAACTGGATCTTCTGGGCCTCAGTGGCCATATGGGTTTCTAGCCACTATCACCACACCAGACACACCTCACTCCCCCATGGGACCTGTGACTGCTGGCGTCTAGGACCCTTACCTAGTGGTTTTCAGACCAGGGGAGGGAGGAGTCTTAGCCTGGCAGCATCTGCTAGAGCAGCCCTCCTATAGCCTACACAGTGACAAGTGTACCCTGAGTGTTAGGGGTACTTTGAGGACGAAGAACTAAAGTGGCTTCTTTTTTCTGGGGGGTGGTACACCACACGGCATACAGGATCTTCCCCAACCAGGGAACGAGCTCATGCCCCCTGCATTGGGAACAGAGTCTTAACCACAGAGTCACTAGATCACCGGTGAAGCCTATAAAATAGCTTATCTTGAAGGCTCCTCCCTGTGCTTCCTCCATTAAAAAAAAAAATCCCTGCAATTCTTGTCCTTCCTTCCAAGTGGCCCCCCCATTCCTGGACACGCTCATCTATCACACGGTTTTGTCATTCTGGGGATCAGATCATGGTGATGTGCTGCTGTTATGGCACTGGTCAAGGCAGGAGAGCTGTCCCTCCCAATGCCCATAAGGATATCTCCATAGGAGTCACCTGTGAGCACCCATCCTTGCTGACCATCTTTTCAGACTCCTTTCTGAGGATGCCACTCAAAGTCAGGCTGAGATACAGGCCTTCTCTGTCCTTTCTGGGCTGCACTGTGTCCACTGGATCCCCCCAGGCATCTCTGGAGAGCCCGTAACCAGCAAGAACACATTTTTGGAAGATCTAACACTTAGCAGGCATCATGCCAAGCTTTGTCTGCATGTTTAATCCCACAGGGATGCTATGAGAGAGGCACAACACTACACCCATTTTACAGCTGAGAAAACTGAGGCAAATGGAGGTTCTTTTTGTTTTGCTTATTGTTATGGTTTTTAACTTAATTATACTTTTAAAGTCTATATTTGGCTGCAGTGGGTCTTTGTTGCGGCACATAGACTTTCTCTAGCTGTGGTGCATGACTTCTCATTGCCATGGCTTCTCTTGTTGCAGAACACAGGCACTAGGAGCATGGGTTTCAGTAGATATGGCACATGGGCTTACTTGCTCCATGGCATGCAGGATCTTCCTGGACCAGGGATCGAACCCATATCCCCTGCATTGGCAGATGGATTCTTATCCACTGGACCACGAGGGAAGTCCTGGTTTTGTTTTTTATTTGCCTTGCCCGAGGTGAGAGGTGACACAAACAGTAAGGGGCAGAGCGCAGAGGCAGATGCTCCTGAGCCCTTCCTTCTTCCCTCTGCCCCTGAAGTTCCCTCCGCCCAGAGCACCTCCAGTGTTCCCCACCCTCCAGATATCAGTTTAGGGGCTCCCTCCCCCACCTGGAGATCCTTCTGCTGGGATCAGGCATCTGCCCATCCCAGTTACATGGAAAGCAGCTGTTCAGACCCCTCTCCCCACTCAAGGGCAGGGACCCAGGTGAAATGTGTCCCCACAGTACCCTAAGTGTTCTCAGCTTCCTTAAAGCCTGCATCCCTGAATTCTGTCCACTGGGTTGTCTTACCTAAGGTCTCTTGCTTATAAACGACTCCTTCCTCCAGATAAACCAGCAAAACCCCCAGAACTCTTCTGATGAAGGGAACAGCCTTGGGGGGCTAGAGTAGAAACTTTAAAATCTGGGGTAGGGACTTCCCTGGTGATCCAGTGGTTAAGAATCTTCCTGCCAATGTAGGGGACACAGGTTTGATCCCTAGACTGGGAAGATCCCACATGCTGCATAGCAACTAAGCCCATGTGCCACAATTACTGAGCCTGTGGTCCAGAGCCCAGGAGTTGCAACTGCAGAGCCCACGTGCCACAACTCCCGAAGCCTGCAGACTCTAGAGCCTGTGCTCCACTGTAAGAGAAGCCATAGTAATGAGAAGCCCATGTACCCCAACTAGAGAGTAGCCTTCACGCGCCACAACCAGAGAAAGCCCACACAGCAATGAAGATCCAGTGCAGCCAAAAATAAGTAAACACAATTAAAAAGAAAGGGTTAAAAAAAAAATAGGGTAACTGGAATTTCCTGGAAGTCCAGTGATTAGGGCTCTGTGCTTCCACTTCAGGAAGCATGGATTCGATCCCAGGTTGGGGATCTAAGATCCCGCATGCTGCAGGACATATATAAATAAATAGTGAAAGTGAAAGTCGCTCAGTCGTGTACAACTATTTGTGATCCCATGGGCTATACTGTCCATGGAATTCTCCAGGCCAGAATACTAGAGTGGGTAGCCTTTCCCTTCTCCAAAGGATCTTCTCAACCTAGGGATTGAAACCAGGTCTCCCGCATTGCAGGCGGTTTCTTCACTAGCTGAGCCAAACGGAAGCCCAAATAAATAAACAAAACTTGGGCGTAACTGAAGAGGGAGTTTTCTCCCCCACCGTTTAGGCTTCAAAATGGTGGTCCACAGACATGGACAGGGCTGTTCTAGGAAGAACCTTCCTCCCCAGGAGTCAGGTTCAGGGTCTCTCAGCCAGGATGCAGATGTTGGTGCAGGGAGGGGGCCTGTTGGTCAAAGCCGAATGAGCCAGTGTGTGTGGCCCAGGTGTGGTAGGTGGGGATCAGTGAGTGATCCATGAGGTCATTTTCTTTGAGCCCCTAAAGAATCATTAATGACCTCAGAGGAGACCTGCCCATAGGAGCCCTGAGCTCAACGACTGGAGGAGACAGTGGTTTAGGCATCCCCAGGCCCTACTCTGCTAAATATGCTGATTTATTCTAATAGCTAGGCCAGTCATGGGGTGTAAAGCAGGTAAGAGCCAAAGGGCCCTTAGGGTACAGCATGCACAGCGTGTATTCCACACACGGTCGTCAGTCTGGTCTGAGCAGCGCGAGCTCCCCCACTCGCCAGGTTGCTCGTCCTTTTCCTGAATGGCGCGCTGCCCTCTCAAGCCCTGCGGGGGGAGCACGCGGCCTGGGAACTTCGGCCAAACGTCGAAGGTGGGGCTCGGAGATGGGGGTTTGGGCGGTGGAGGGGATGGGCCCCCTCCAGCACCCGGGACAGCACCGGTCCGCTCCACCTTGTGGTTCCTCCTCTCGGCCGGGGTCCGTGGGTCCAGCCCGCCCTCCTCCCGTGGGTCGGCCTGGCGGTCCGCCGTGCTGGCCGTTGCCCGGCCAGCCGGTTGAGGGCGGGCAGCCTCGAGCAGATGGGCGGGGGACGCCCAGCCAGTTTGCGGCAGCAACGGCCACGCGGCGCGGAGGCGGGCCCCGGGGCCGCTGGGGCCCGGGCGGGCTCGGAGAGACGGCGCCCAGGACCGCCCCGCCCCGCCTGTCACGTGAGCTCCGACTGTCCCGCGGGTGGGAGGCCGGAGCTGGAGCCAGTGAAATGAAAATGAGCTCCGAGTGCTCCTGGGTTGCCTCGTCTTCTCTGGGCCTCAGTTTCCCTATGCAAAACCGAGGACGGGGGAGTGGGGGCAGGTGGTCCCTAAGTCGGTGAGGGCCAGAGGACTCTACCGAACCGCAGGGGGCTTAGTCCTGCCTGGCCAATTTCCAGCCGTTGGAGCCGGAGCGAGTTGAGATCTCTTTCCGGCCTCGGTCTCCCCTTCCAGCCCCGCAGCCCAACTGGTGGGGCGAGTCCCTCCCCGTAGTAGAAACCTGAGCTGAGTAGTAACTCCCTGACGCCGGGGACTTGGGGGTCCCGCCGCCTCTGGGTCCCCTGCCCAGGCCCAGGGCGGGGCTCAGAGCAGCCGCTGATCTCGAACGAGGGAAGAAGGGCGGCGCTGGACAAGGAAGGGCAAGGGCCTGGCCGCAACCTCTTCCCTCCAGCCCACACACACCCCCGCAGGTGCTCTGGGAGGAAGGTGCTCCAGGCCCGCGACCCCGCCGCAGATGGGACGCCAAGGCCTGGAGAGGGATCCCCGGGGCTCCGCCGTCCCCCCTCCCGCCCCCACCCCGCGCTGGAACAAAGGCGGAGGTGGGACCCACAGGCGGCCTGACTCCGCGGGGCGGGGCGGGGCGGGCCCGCTGCCTCCTTAAAGCCGGGCTGCGGGCGTGGCGCGCGCACCACTGGCTCCCGTTCGGGTCGCGCACCGGACCTCCCTGCGGGCCTCGGTCTCCGTTCGGTGTCCGCGCGCTCGCGCGCAAGTCTGCACGGGCCGGCCCCGCAGCGGCACCAATTTCCCGCCGAGCATGGGGCTGCCTCGGAGGGCAGGGGACCCGGCGGAGCTGCGCAAGGTAGGAGCCAGGGGACTGGCGACTGGGGGCAGAGTGGCGGGGGCGGGGGCCTGGACGTAACCGCGGCCTACACGCCCGCTTGCAGAGCCTGAAGCCGCTGCTGGAGAAGCGGCGCCGCGCGCGCATCAACGAGAGCCTGAGCCAGCTCAAGGGGCTCATCCTGCCGCTGCTGGGCAGGGAGGTGAGTACTAGGGCCTCGGGGCCCCGCCGGGCGCACTGGGGCTGGGTGTAGGGGTCCCTGGGCTCGGGGCGAGGAGACCGGGCGGGTGGAGATCCTCTTGCCCCCGGAGCCAGTAAGTGGCCAATGCGCGGCGGGCAAGGCTCGGGGAGGCCACCCACCGCGGGCCACGGCGCACGGAGCACCCAGCTCCTGGGAGCGCGGTGCTCACGGCAGCCTGCGGGAGGTCTGTCTTGTTTTTGCGTTTCTCTGTCCCTTTCCTTCGTGGCCTGGCACAGAGCTCCCGCTACTCTAAACTGGAGAAAGCGGACATCCTGGAAATGACCGTGCGCTTCCTGCAGGAGCTGCCTGCGTCCTCCGGCCCGACGACGGCGCCCAGTGAGTGACCCCACCCCGCCCCCGCCCGGCCCCGCGGCCTGCGCCCAGCGCTCCAGCCCGCGCCTGACGCCGCTCTCCGTCCGCAGCACCCTCTGACAGTTACCTCGAGGGCTACCGAGCGTGCCTGGCGCGCCTGGCTCGCGTGCTACCCACCTGCCGCGTCCTGGAGCCTGCCGTGAGCGCTCGCCTGCTGGAACACCTGCGCCGGAGGGCGGCCAGCGCCACCCCCGACGGCGGGCGCTCTGGGGACCCCTGCGGCCCGCCAGCGCCTACCCCGCCGCCCGCCCCTGCGCCCTCACCACCCGAACCTCCCCGGAATCCGGGTCTCTGGAGGCCCTGGTAGCCCCCAGGGCCGTTCTACGGACCCTGCTGACTGCGCGGGATCAGGAGTGCTGGACAGACTCAGGAAGCTCTTGGAGGCGGCTCCCGTTCCCACCACGACGGACAAGCCTGGTACTTACAACCGGGGCAGATCCGGATGTCTGTGATCTGTGCTGGCAGACAAGTCCACCGGGACTCAGGAAATAAGGGGAGAGGCCCAGGTTCAGCCCCAGCTTGGGATGTCTGGGCTAGAAAAAACCTCCTGCCTCAGCAGGTGGAAGGGCTCGGGAGCTGGGCCAGTCACAGCTGCCCCCGAAGCCCACACACCTGCTCCAGCGCTGGCAGCAGCCCAGGGGCTGGCCAGGAGCTCACCTGAGCCAGGTGCAGCCATCTGCTCTGGCTGGTCACTGCTCTCCCAGCCCCGCATGAGTCTGCCTCCTCTCCAGCTCATCCTGGGAACCTCTGGGCAGACGGCAGCAGTGGCCTGAAGGGCTCTGCAGGTGGGGGAGACTTGACCTCCACTCCTGGCTTCCTGCCTAAAGCTTCCAGTTAATTATAGGGACAGGATGCCACCAGGGCTGTGTGCCTAGAGGTGGGGGCTTCCTTAGGTAGGCTCAGGAAGGATTTATTCCCTCAAGCACTAAGTTAACACCTGTGTACCGCACACCAAGCCCCATGGTCTTAGGGTGTGAAGAGGGATGTTACAAGAGTGAGGATGCCCTGTGGCCTGGAGGAAGCTTGCTGCCTTGAAGGGCCAGGCCTGGGGCCCAGCACAGAGCTGGTGCTGATGAGGTTAGCCTGGGGCAGCAGAAACTCAGAGGATGACATGGCAGGTTGAGGAACAGGAGTCCACTTTTCTCATTTTCTCTTTTGAACTGCTCTCTGCTACTGTCAGGACAGATAAGTGGAAGCAACTTGTTCTGAAGACTTTTCTTGCTTCCCCATGGAAGCCAGAGAGACTTTGAAGGTCTGGAGGGGAGGGGGAGCTGTGGATCCCAGCAGTGGGTGCCAGGTAATCACCTGTTTCTGCGCCCCCCCCCAACTCAGTCATGTTCCCAGCGTCTCCTGGGGCTTCACAGAGCATTTATGGGAGATGGGGAGTCCTCCCTCCCCATCCCCAGTCCAACAAGCCTGTGTGAGGGACTGGGGCACTGGGGGCAAGAAGATAGAGCTGATGGGGGGGTCATTAAATTGAGCTATATGCCACAGAAATCCGTGATGACCTAGACACTGACTCCAGTGGCAGGTTTTGGGGAGGCTGCGGGCATCATTGAAGAAGTCAATGTTAAGACAGGAGGGTGAGCTCCTGGCAAGGTGGGCCATCCTACCACCTGTCTGGGGCAGCTGGCTGGACTGTATGCTCCTGGAGGGCAGGGCCGAGGCCGAGTATACCTCTTTGTCCCCAGGGAACTTGGCACGTGGCGGGTGCTCAATAAATATCATGAGCTAATAAACAGGTGGTGTGACTGGTCCATGCTCTATGGAACCCCCAACAGCCTGGTTTTTGGCTCGACTCCCGCCCTCCAGATCCCTAACATCCCTTTGAAAAGCTGCTGCACCAGAGGACAAATGTGGGGGAGGGTGTGGAGAGAAGGGAGGGCAGTCCCTGGGAACACAAGCCTGCGTGCCTGAGTGCCCAGGAGCAAGTGGAGGGGGGCAGGTAATCCACAAGCCCACGTCCACTTCGTGAGTTCAAATTTCCTCCTTGAGTCAAGGACTGCCATCCCTCAGGCACACCCCGGGCAGGCTCCTTGTCCCTTTAAATAAGAACTTTCAATAGGGCTTTAAACTTGGTAAGAACTGACTCACTAGAGGCCACTGCTTTCTTCTGAGCCCATCTGGGTCCCCAACTCTGTGACTCTTGTTGACCTGGCCCCAGTCAAGCCATAAGACAGACGGTCAGGGGGCAGGTGTGTTTAGGCCAGTGACTCACAGGGTCAGGCATTCTGGGGTTCTGAGGCCAGTCAAACCCTGGCAAAGAGATGAGGCATGCCCAGGCGGGTGAGGTTCTGCGCCCGAGGCAAGAAGCTGGTTTCTCAGCAGGGACATGCAGGAGTTGCCTAGAAGGTCTCAGCTGGCCCTCCGAGCTGGGCTTGTGAAATAGGGACACCAACAGCCCTCCTCAACAAGGCACCTGCTGGCGCCTCCCTCAGGCAACTCCCCAGGTATTCCCAGGGCACTGTCTCGTGGTCAAAGGTGAGCCCTGGGCAGAGTGGGCTCGCTCAGGAGCATTGAATGACCCTTACAAGGCTCACGGGGTGCTCAGCAGACAGCTCTTGCGACGTTCTCTCTGCTCTGGTCCTGTGACTGAGACTAGCTGCGTCTGGTTATCATGCTTGGTTGGAGAAAAGGCTCCCACGCCTCAAAAACCAGTGGGTGAAATGGTCCAATGACCTAATGATGGCGGGAGCACTGAGCTGTCAGTTGGAGCACCGAGGAGACTCAGACTGGGGCCAGGTCGCACCCAGCCCGCTGGCACTAGTTACTTGGGAGAAGGCAGGTGTGGTTTCCATGAGTGAGAGAAAAGAGCAGGTTACCAAGGAGGACTCCTCTAATAAACATTTACAAATTGCTCTGCTCTGCCTAGGAAGCCCAGACTCCAAGACTGAGTCTTCCACGGGTTTATCTAGAATAGGATCGGAATGAACACAGCCTGTGGGGAACGTCTGGAAAAATCTGCACCTTTGAAGAGTCCTCCCCAGCATGCTTTGGGGTGACCACTCTGGAGACAGGGCAACACAGAGGGGGCTGTCCCTGCTGTGTGTGGGCAGCCACCTCATGCATCAATAAGCAGTCATATTGAATTTTTTATTTTTAATATTTATTTATTTGGTTGTGCTTGGTCTTGTGGCATTCGGGATCTTCAATCTCCATTGTGGCATTCAGGATCTTTAGTTGTGGCATGGGAGATCTAGTTCCCTGACCAGGGATCAATCCTGGGAGCAAGGAGTCTTAGCCACTGGACCATCAGGGAAATACTTACTTTTTAAAAACATACCAGGTTGCTATAGCTGGCCCAGGGAACTAACTCACCCAGTGGTGTTATTTCCCTTGGTTTTACTTCTTGTCTGGCCCCCTGCCAGCGTGGCCGTGACCCTGGGGTGCGTGTGCCTGTGTGTGTGTGTCTCCCTGAGCAGCCAGGTGGCCGCCCTGCAGAGAGCTGCCTGGACATGCGAGGAAGGGGAGAAGGCAGCCACCCACCGAGGGTTCCCGGGAGCAACTGGTTTCACTTTGGGTTTTGAGAGGCCCTGGCAGAGCCCCAGGCTCTTAAAGCAGCTATAGTAAAACTCTGAATGGTTTCAGGAGCGTGAGAAAGGCACTAGAGGGCACGCCCTAGAGGCATATGTGGTGTCTTGTTACAGAAGGTCCATTGGAGGGCAGTAGGGAGCAAGGGCTTGGTGGCTGGTCACAGGACCACACTTTGTGAGCCCAGGGTACCCTGGTCTGGGGCTAAAGAAGGAGAGTTTCAGCTGATTATGTGCCCACTGCTGGTTCTGATTGGAGGGTGGGCAGCAGAGCCCTATGTCTTGGTGCTCAGTACATTAAAAATGTCTGGGAAAAAAAAAAATGTCTGGGAAGGGACTTCCCTAATGGTCCAGTGGTTAAGACTCCATGCTCCCAGCGCAGGGGACTGTGTTCAATCCCTGGTAGGGGAACTAGATCCCACATGACTCAACTAAGACCCATAGCAGCCCCCTCCCCCCCCAAAAAAATCCTCAAACAAAAACCAAACCAAAAACTTCAGGGAGCATAGGACAAAGTGCTTAAAGAACTAAGAACCATTCTGGACTCCAGGAATCAGAGACAAATCCAGGTTTTATGGGGACTACATTTTGAAGCCCTCTGTAAGAAAACATGTAAAATTTTGAGTATAGATTTAGGATGGAAATGAATATTTATTCAGAATGAAAAATCAGTTGCATCAAGCTAGGGCTGCCTGCAGACTCCTGTCCTGTCCTTTTCTGTTTCTCTTTAAGCAATTTACCAACCTGCTTCCATAGGAATGCTTCCTGGTGACACCCCTCCCCCGCCCCCACCTCCCTCTGCTCCTAAAACATTCTGCTAACTGCCCTTGCTTGGGGGCAGACCCAAGCTTAAGCCTCATCAGTCGCATGGTAATTCCATTTCTGCCCAGAATGTATCCTGGGTCTCCTGCAATGACAGTAATAAGATAAATACCTCTTCTTTGCTTCCTCCATTTGTTTAAGGCTATAAATTACAAGGTATAAAGTGGAAGTGTTAGTCACTCAGTAGCGTCCAACTCTTTGCAACCCCATGGACTGCCAGGCTCCTCTGTCCATGGAATTCTCCAGGCAAGAATACTGGAGTGGGTAGCCATTCCCTTCTCCAGGGGATCTTCCCAACCCAGAGACTGAACCTGGGTTTCCTGCATTGCCGGTGGATTCTTTACAAGGTATAGATTCACACAAACATTTACATCACTCAGGGCAATTCCTACTCCCCACCCCGCCTCTTTGCACCCCCTGGGAAGCTTGTGAAATGCAGATTCCTGAGTCCCACCTTCAGGGGTTCTGATTTTCTGTGTTTGAGTCAATAGATTCACACCTTTCACTTGAGAGAGGGTTAATTTGACTAAGTGGGAATTCCCTGGCGGTCCAGTGGTTAGAATTTAGCACTTTCAGTGCTGGGGCCCAGGGTTCCATCCCTGGTCAGGGAACTAAAATTGTAAACAGTGCAGGAACCATCTAGATATTTATAAGTAAAGTGCACATGCAGAAAAATGGACAAATTATAGTTGCACAACCTGATTCATTATGATAAAATAGATATACTCATGGAAAGTGAAAAAGTGAAAGTGTTGGTCACTCAGTCATGTCCTACTCTTTGTGACCCCATGGACTATAGCCCACCAGGCTCTTCTGTCCATGGTATTTCACAGGCAAGAATACTGGAGGTAGCCATTCTCTTCTCCAAAGGATCCTTCAAACCCAGGAACTGAACCCAGGTCTCAATCTGAGCCACCAGGGAAGCCCATACTCATGGAAACCACTCCGCAGATCA